AAAATTAAACCACAACAAAGACATATGAATCTTTCACCAAAAATTTGAGTCTGATCTTACTGCCAACTAGCTATACATTAAATGATATTAGAATTTTGTGTTGTTGTTGAGGATTTAAATGTGAAAGTGAATGCGGAAGTTAAATCATCTATATTTCTGCACAGATAGCATTCGTATTTTATATGATTTAATAGTTGGCATCTCTGCTTGAGTAAAGTTTAAGAAATTAAACAAAAGTAGTGGTTGAAGCCACAAGTTTAATAAGAATAGAAATGTGAAAGAATAAAGCAGGACTGGAATGGATAAAAGTATGTAGAAAATATAAGGAACTGGCCAAAATGACCAGATTAACTGAATTAGAAGACAAAATGAATATGCAGTATTGCAAAATTTAAATAACTATACAGACTTGAAGTAATCTTCATTTAAATTCAAAACATGCACAAATATAATGAACCTGGCCCAATAGAAGTACGATTCAACAACTTTATCTAAGTCACACACACACAAAAAAAAAGTTTTGAGAACTACTATATTTTATCCTACCCAGTCTGATAAGTTCTGGTATTGGTGTGTGTGTGTGTGTGTGTGTGTGTGTATATGATGGAGAGGTGCAAGTGTCTACTACATTATTAATAAATATATATTAAACCTATTACTTTTACAAATTTCCTTCTTACCTCATCAGGAGCAGCTTTGCCATACTCTCCATTTGTTTCTAAGAACTTTGTCATACCATCTAATGTCCTTTCACCATTATATTCTACTGCCTAGAGGAGAAAAAAAATTAATGGGGAGTAGAAAATTAAATTATTTATGCACCAAATAATGTTGTTGAAGAAGTAAATTAAGAGTTTTCTAACTTCTTAAAGTTCAAAAGGTTATAAAAGTTCTACCATAGTTAAAAACATGTAACTGAAGATTCAACAAGACTTGTATAGGTTATACAGCATGATAAAACATATAAATGCATATATAAACTAGTGCAAGTCCTGTTATACTCTGAACTGCCCATGCAAGTTATAGTAATTTATAGTATTAAGTAGAAATATAAGTAATTTATTTTTAATGTAGATATATCATTCTGCAAATACAAGCTCATTTTAAAACATTAAGAATATTACCAATAACTGCATTTTTTTAAATTCACTAAAGCAATTTTTATTACAAATTGCATAAAACTTAAAACGACATAAAAGTTACTGTGTACTAACAAGTTCTGTAATTAATCAAAACAAAAAGAAAAACTTTATACCTCATTGGTCCATTTCTTAAATAACTTAATTGTTGGAAAACTGTTAATTTTTGTATGTTCTAGTTCATTAAGTGTGGAGTCCATCTTAGCTATCACGATTGTATCATTTTCCTTGTATTTCTCTCCAAGCTCTTTATAGATGGGAACAAGCTCCTGACAGTGTCCACACCAGGGAGCATCTGTTGAAATATCAATTTATCAGACAAAACTTCATTGTTTTGTTTTTAAAAGGAATTTACCTATATCTTTTAATACATTAATCTATTACTTTTTACTCTTGAACCACATTAACACATACACTGACAGCACTAACACAGGTATTCTGGATCTATTCAAAACAGCATTTGTATTTTTACATATTAATCGTAAGAGAAGGATTTCTCCGTTATATCTCAAAAATATATTAAGTTCACAACCTCTCCAGCATCATAATAGAGCATAAACAGATTGTGACAGGTGGTTAGGCTAAAACTACAATAATATTCATACATAACTCCATATTACAGTACTATTTCAAGTGAAAGTAATTCAATAAACAAATATAACAAAGTTTGCCCAAACATAAGCAGTAGTTTCAAATATCGGTCTTGCAGTGACATACAATTAGCATCCCCCCTTAAAAGCAAGATATGTAGGTATAATAAACACTTTTCAATAATATGTTAACATAAGAAGTTATGCTTTACACCATAATCATAGAAGTAAATCTTGGATAAAGTAAAAAACTAACTTACAGAATTCTACTAACACATCCTTAGACTTATCAAAAACTACAGATTCGAAATTTTTGCTGACTAGAACTTTTACTGCATGTTTGTCCCAGTCTTCAGGTACATCTTGGGACAGTAGATGTTCCTGTTACAAAAGAATATTGTAAGATTTATACTTGGCAAGCTTTGTAAATAAAACTTAACATTCAAACACTTGTTTACCAATGGATCTCTGATGTGTTGTTTTTTAATAGATCACAAAGTATTATAAAAAGTTTACATCTACATAAAATAGTACAAAATAATTATGCCTCTGAAATGAATAAGTAACAACAACAACATAAATCTATCTATCTACCTGTGTGTGCGTTTTTATAAACTCTTCTGACTGGAACTACGTACTGAGCTGGTAAAAAATGATGGAATTTAAATTATCAATCTTTATTGTTATGTATTACAAAAAAAAACTGTTTAGATTTCGATAATTTAATCTACTTGGATAGCTAGAGTATCATGTGACAATTAAATATAGATTTTGGGCACATTATTTTGTTTTTCTTAAGTTTCACATGAGATATGATGAGTTTTTTTTTCTAAAGATCAACTTTAGTTCTAAATGCTCAGTCACTTGATATTGATGAAATACACCCCCTCTACATTTCAACTATGCCACCTTTGTTTAAAACCATTTCTGACAAGCATCTTCACTCAGGCTGGTCAGGTTATTGTATATAAATAGTATTTCAATTAAGACAATAATTTGAATTACTAGATTCTGATAATCAGTCTTATTAAATACTATAAACACACTGTATCTGTCTGTGTCTGTTGGTCATGCAATGAGGTCATAGCTACTTATTAAGCAGTTGAAGTAGTTTGGCTTCCTGTCAATTAGAAGAGAGTAGTCTACAACTGATCGAAAATTAAAGATATATTTGGACTAAAATGTACAAAAAAACTGAACCTTCTTCGCAATTTCAAGATGCATCTTTGTTAAATCATCAAGTTATGCCAGAACAACATATTAAAAGCTTAAATTTTTTAAAGAGGTCTAACATTAGGTCATATAATAATATTAGAAGATTATCTATTGATAATATTAAGAGTTGTCAGGCTTAGCCCTAACTGGACTAAAGCAAAAAATGTATACAAGGTACAGTGTTAATTTATCTCTTTATCAAATATAGACTATACTTAATAAAGTCTTAACTAATGTTAGGACTAAGACAAGTAAACTTATAGACTCAGTGTCTGCAATTAGAATTCTTTTGTATTATTCTAGAAATCCTGTATTTAAAGAAGTACTTTTGCAATAAAGATACTAATTTGGCTTCAAATGTTTTGCGGGTCTCTGCTAGTTGTTATATGTCACACACTAATAATTATCATACTCAACCATATAAAGCATTTAAAAATTAAAACTAATCGTCTCAAACAAACCATATAAATTGTGCTTCAACTAAGATTTTGCATGTTGTATTCCAATTGGTCCAATGAGTTCTGGTATTGAGTGAAAGACCTCCCCAACAGATGCATACAAAAAAAGTTCAGATACTATACCCCTTTTCCTGGAAATCCATACAAGGTAGTTTGGAATGTAAATTATTATTAGACTTGTTTTATTGTAATATCACACACACACACACACCTTTGAATGTCATACACACATGCTCCACTAGCTAAAGCATCCCATACACAAATATTCTTTAACCAACACTGTTCAATTTAAAAATTAAGTTATCAAGTAACAGTAATTAAATATTATAGTACATGAAAATGTATTACATATTAATACCTCATTATACTATTTGTTAATAATAAAAAAAAAGGTTGTTTATCAATAGCAAATATTAAAAGTGATAGGTGGGCTAATGGAATTGTTTAAAAAGCTTTTTCTTTTTTTCTTAACAGAAACAAAACCTGCCTTTAATTTTCCATCCAAAACATCTTGAACAAAACTACGGATATTTTCCAAAGAGATCTCTTTAGTTTCAGGCTTAAATTTGGACACCTCATCCTTTAACTGTATTATCCGCATTTCAGGCATGTCTTCTTTCTTCATTCCAAAAAACTCCAAGATTCTTTCATTGTTTTCTTTCTCAGCATCAACAACAACAAACAAAACCTGTGAAGACAGAAGTCTTACCATATTTAGACTATTTTGATAGGCAGCATACACAGAAGTTAGATACAAATAGTACGAGATTCTTAACAGTACTTTAGAAAAATATTTAAGTTCCTTATCAAAATGCTTAAACTATACCGAAACTTATTCAATTCCAGGGACCTCATACTTAAAGTTCTTTACAAATGTCTTTAAAACTCAAATATAGTTTTAATAGTAGTACATACCTTAAAAATCAAATTTATAACATTACCTTGTTTTTATATTCTCTGGCCGCAGTATTATAATCTTCCATGAGTTTGGTATATTCTGGTGATAATTTACTTATAAAAAGAAGATTTTGAGTTTTTATATCTCCACCAAATATTTTCTGAGCATTCTAAAAGTTGAGAAAATAAAGAACGAAAATAATTTATATTAGTTTTTGATACCACTAATGTTTACAATGTGAAATCAGATGGATTTCAGTCATTGTATGGTACGTAAAGTCCAGCAGTTTGAGAAAAACATAACATTGTCTATCTATCCAACAAAAAAATGGATTTTGTACTGCCATGCAAGTCAATACAAAGTTATCAACCATAATTAAAATTACCATATGTACAATTTGCAATATCATAAAAACATTCAACATCTTTTGAACAAATATATTTCAGTATTTTAAGTCATCTTTTAAAAAGACTTAGCAAATCATAATTATATCAAAACATAACTACTAGAACTTCAAATTCTGCACTTTTATAATCTCATCAATATAAGGCTGTTCAATTCAATTGTTATCTCATGTGAACTTTGTTTTACATAAGTTTGTCAATACAAAAAGCATGTTGTAAGGGTTTCTATTGTTAGTTAGATTGTTTAGGGGTTATTCAAAAAGAAAGACACAAAGCCGAGTCCACTTCATAATGAAAGCATTACTTGAACGTCAAGTTCTACAAGTTTGCTTTACTAACATTAACAAGTAGGCTTATATTCACACAAACAAGGTTTGAATAGAAATTATTTGCTAATTTTCTCGCAAGTACAAAATTGTGAAGTTCTTCGAACAATTCTATTACACAAATTTTACTATAATGGACATAGCATGTATCAATCTCTGTATGTGGAATAATAAATAGTGTGACACCACAAATAAAAAATCTATAAACAAATTTTTACATAGTGTTTTCAAGATTCAGACAAATAGAAAAATAACTATGATATGTGCAACAACCATTTCTTTATCACAAAACAGAATTTTAAATAAAAATACTCTCATTACAACAAGAACACGACTATCACTAGGGATGTACGTGTGGATTTGGTTATATCTTTATTGATGCAATTTCTAAATGTAGTACTAAAAAGAAGAAATAAAAAAGTTATTTCAATAAAGGGTACCACTTTTAATGTATAACAACATTAAACTTTATATCAGGCCAATCCAAACACTCTTCCCATGCAGTACTTCCCAGGAAAATCCTTTTTTAGAAAATGTTAACTTTTTGTAAAATATTTTCAATGAGGTGTGAATACTACAATTAGTAATTATTAGCATAAACAGCTGCCTGTAGGGCAGTGTTTCTACTAGTAATAACAATAGCTTGAAATTTAAACTTCCATCATGAACAACAGAGTAGCTCAACAATTTTTAACATTAATATTCTTTGGGATCTTCAAAGGTTGATTTAAGTGCTGGTAAAGTCTTCTCTGAAGCTAATCAATTGGCCATTCTCTTGCTGACGTACTTCAAAGGACTATCACAGAGAGTGATTTTTTGCTTAGACTACCTGTCCTTGTATATTCTATAAACTACATTGATTCATTTGATTACACTATAGAATCATTCTGAACCTCTACTTAATTCTGGAGATAGTCCCTTCTTAAGGTATGGATTGTATAGCTATATCATGTCACTAAAGTAAAGTCATGTATAGCAACAATAATCTTCTTTAGCCTCACTGAATATGCTGTACAAGATTCTGTTGAGTGATGGTCCTCAGGATCTAAATGCAGAAGGTCCAATGAAAATTTTAGTTCTCTTCCAGAACAAAAAAAAGTGATGATGGTATGTTGCCAGTAGCTTCAAGTATAGTAACTATGAGTAACAGCAGAAGACTGATATTCATCCAAATCAATGGCCAAGTGATTTAAAAGTGTATGGTTTTTATCTCCACCATTCCATCAGCAGACAGATGAAGAACTGTCATTTGGTCCTTTTGGTTCCAAGGATTTGACTCATTTCTGTAAACAATGCTAATTTAATGTTCCATCCCTGATCTGAATGAAGTTTCTCAAATTCACTGATGAGCTTCTTTATTGGAGTTTCTGCTTTCTGGTGGGGAAAAGCACATGCTTCTGGCCGCCGAGATTTATTTATTCTCAATGTTGCTCTGTGGTAGAGGTCCAACCACATCAACAGCAACTCTCTAACAATGCTCCAACACAATATCTAATGATGCTGAAAAAATACTGCTTTAATTGCTTATGTTCATGGACCTTTTTGTTCAAAGCACAGTTCAAGAGTTATATCAATCTTATATGGTTACTGGCATCTAATCCAACAGAAAATTATCATCCTCTCCCTTGCCTTCTTAACACTTAAGTGCCCAGCTGTTAGAAGGATGTGGTGATGACAAAATGCTTCCGAGTGTACTAACTGTTGAAATACCAACTGTAGCCTTAACTTCTGTACACTTGCATCTTTCCATTTGTAACAATCCTTTTTGTAGGCATAACAAACCCATAGCATGTATTTGGACTGTATTAAGATAATTTCTGCCAAAAAGGGTCATTATGTACCATTCTTTATCCACTGAATAATTGGTTTAATGCCCTTATCTTTCTCTTGGACAACAACAATTCATCTTTGGAAGTTTCATTTTTGATTCTACTCTGTTACTCTATTATTTTATGCTTTCCTTCAGTAATACAAGGTCTTCAAGATAATGCATCAGCATTTCACGATTCCACACAAGGCACTGCACAAGATTAAAATTGTACTCCTGAACTTTCTGGAGTCACCCTGCTATCTGGCCTTTTAAATTGTAGAAATTCAGACACTTTAGTACTGTATGATCTATCAGAGTGTAAACTGTTGGCCATAGAGATAGTAATGAAAATGACTCTGGGCTCTAGTAACAGATATTAGTCTCCTTCTCCAAAGAGTTATAAAATATCCCCATACCTCTTCTGCAGCATTCATTGCCTTCCTAACATATGCAATCATGTTCTCTCATGTGGTACTCATGATAAGACTACTCACACTGTATAATCAGCTGTCCAGTAAAACTGATTTGTTTTCCTCGCAATTTTACAGAGGATGAGCTACATTAGAAAATAGTTTTACAAACAGTGATAGTAAGAGCACAGTTCAAGAAGTTACCTTATGCAAGTTTTGCAGAATTGACCAATTTTGAACAGATCCAATTTTGATTGGGTTTCTCCAGTGACTGTGTCCCACAAAATGCCTTCTGATTTTATAAATCACTTTTTGCAATCCAGCTTAAGGTTCTCTTTCCTTAACCAATTCAGAAATTTTCTTAGTTCATCACAAGCATAAAGGTTTTCCCCATGTGTGATTATGTCATCTGAGCAGATAACCAAAACATTCCAGGATAGTCCAGAAAGACACATTCAATTACTGTTGAAATGCAGAAGGTGTTTATATAATAAAAATAGTAATATAGCAAATTACTACAACTCATTTTCTACAACAACAACAAAAAGGCTGTTTGGGGGTTTTTAGTTGCCTTGGCAACTTGCATTTGCCAGTAACAACTTTTCAGATCCAATGTTAAAAAAACATTCTCCCTCAAATAAATCATCCAAAATAATCAATCCTTGGCAGTGTGCAAGCATCTTTCTTTGTAGCTTCACTTGCTTGTAGTCAACACAGAACCTTGTAGATCCATCTTTTTTCATAAGTCCAATAGGTGATACCCAAAGTGTAATCACTTTGTTCCATTATTGCTAACCTCACATCCATGTCTCCATTTAAAGTTATTTCTAACATGCATGCACTTTTCCTCAATGTCAAATAAACCACATGTTGTACAGAAGATACTCACAGTTAGGGTTACTTCTGATTGTTCACTGAAGTATTATGACCACTTGCTGTTTGCAACAATCCATCTTCTTGCTTCATTCCTAAAGACAATTTCCTAGCTCTCAGATGAAACAATGGTAGCTGTTGAATCAGTATTAATAAACATGTTAAAAGGCTTCCCATGATAAATTCATTCCCTCGTGGAGAATAATGTCTTTAAATAATTGCATTTTTTTTTTCACTTGGGACAGATGGACTATTTTTTCCCTTAGGTTTTGGTTTATTATCAACAACTGATTTATCAATCTTGGACATAATTTCCATTTTCCACACACACATAGCAGTCATCCTTTGAGAGTAGTTCTTAATTATTACAAGTTCCTGGCAAAGTCATTTTAACTTGCAGTTAAAACATTTATGTCCATTTATTTAAGTTTATTATTCATCATTATTTGATCTGATGATCCCATTATTCCTAGATGATCTGTTAGTTGTTTATCTGTAACTTTAATTGATTCAAGTTCCATTACTAATTGAGCAGTTTCCTTCAGAGATGTACAAAGTTTGCTGTAGCCTACGTTTGCTCAAAAGTCATAGTACTAAATTAACTAACTGGCTCACTTAATGATCAATCAGCAATTCAATCTAGCCTCTCCTATTATATGTTTTATATTGTTCTAATCACTTCCTAAACATTGAAGAATTCAAAGTTATTAGGCCACCTGCTTATGTGATGTTAAAATCTCCCTCTATCCAAAAACAATACAAAAAGTAAATAAAAAAACAGCTCTACACCAATAATAGTTTACCTCTTAAATTATTAGAATTAATCCATTTTGTTGGACAGAATATTTGAATGAAGTAACAGCAAACCTCATTACATCCCTCCCCACCAATATTATAAGAAAAGAAGAAAAAAAAAACAACATGAAACACAGGTTACAGAATATTAAGTTTATAACTTTAGTTTTACCTTTTATAAAACAAATAAAATGAAACATCAGAAAATAATTTTAGTCACTAAAACAGTTACTTTGAATGTTAGATATAGATATTCCAGTTCAAACACTAATAAAGTGACTTTAAAGTTATTTAGTCTAAACAGAATGATTAGTCTGTCACCTACCTCAGGATCAAACTCTATAACTAGAGGCAAGCTGTTTGCTTTTACAAACTTCTTCAAGGACTCAACAGTAACTTTATCCTCAAGTGCATTCCTGCCTTCATCAAACTGGAAGAGGGAAACAAAAGAAGAAAAAAACGTTTTGCTTGTATAGACACACACACACAGTCTTAGTGTCGTTAACAATATCACTAGTAATAAGTGTAAAAAATTTCTAATACTTTAAGCAGTAACTCCAATGTTTTAGGATAAGAACCCCAATTTACTCTGCAACAGACAAAGCAAACATACAGAACCAATTACAAACATTTAAACAAAAAAAGGAAAACTTAATATTGCACTTAATAGTAGTATAAAATAACATATTTAAGACGTTTCAAGAATAACACGTGTTAGTTTATTTCGTGATCTTGTTCGAAGTAGACAAGAGGACAAGCAGATAGTGAAAAGCATCCACCATCTCTTGGACTTCTCTTGTCTCATCAAATAGTAGAATTTGACCATTACTTAACACAACCACAGCCCCAAACAGCAAAACAAGTTCTTGTGACAATAGGTCATTAAATCAGTCATGCCAATCCCGAGACTGACAGTCATTTGATATATTTTTTTTTTAATATGAAAAAAAACAAACAAAAATTCATCTTTCAATAAAACTATGTGCTATTTCTATAATTACTTGTAAGAACACTAACATTCCCAGGTGGCTCAGCAGTAAGTCTAAGGCTTATAATGTTACAACTCTAGTTTCAATAACTGCAGTTGGCAGAGCATAGATAGCTCCTTCTGTAGTTTTAAGCTAAAACCAAACTATAACTTAAGAAATCCTACTCAATCACAGACTAGCTAAACTAAGTAATTTCAAAGCTAAAAGTCTTAATGATAAATCTTGTTTGAAGAAGAAAAAAAAATGTTTTTCTTTTCACACAGTAAGTTATATGGTTATAAGTAATATTTATATGTAAACATATTTCAATCTCCTAAAAGCTCAAGCTGTTGATAAACCTTATCCCACTTACAGTTCATAACCAAACCAATATACCATACTTTAGAATGTTATTTTGATGCATCATCAATACGCACATATCATGTCATTTAAAAGTACCATATCAAATGCTGCTTAGTTTAAGTATTGTTATGAAATAAAATATTGTGTTTGAAACACACAAGAGAGAGAGAAAAAAACTTACCAACTAAAATAATTTAGAAAACAAGTAAGCTGATCACTTTAAACCATATATATTGTGGCAAGCTTTTTAAAAGTCATTCTTGCCAGTTTTTAGAGCCAAAAAGAGGAAATTTTGTTACCTTTTAAGAAAGTTTTATAAAAGGAGTGGAAGATGTAAACATAAACATTATATAAAAGAATGTACTGTCTTATATTTTGGCAGCCAATTGTCATTAATCTACAAAACTAGAAAACAAAAGATATGTAGAGTTCTTGTCTATCTACTTCTTTATAATTAAAACTTCAAATTATTACAAACTACAAGTATCAAATGATAAGAACAACTGGTCAAGTGTGCCATAATAAAAACTTAACACTGTCAAATAACAATGAAATAGCACAAACTAGTAATGGAAGCATACCCAGATATCTGGGACCAAAAGTCAAACATGAATGTATATTATACAGAGGATGAATATATTACATTGATTTTAGAGCCTCACCACAATGTTACAGTTTATGTTACCATGTCTGGTAATGTTCTATTTGATAACCATACATCTTTGCAACAGCCCTGCAGCATAGTTTCCAATACAAGAAGCTCCATCCTTAGGCAGTCATGTTTGAAATATACCCTCATCCATAAGCTATCAAGTATACGAGGACAATGGTTTCCCAGTGCACATTTCAACAATCTGGTCAGAAAGAGGACCATAAGCCAAGAGTGACTTGACCAGTATGTCTTTGTAAGGAATAGCATGAGTACCCCTTTTATTCTGTAGCTGCTTACAGTATGCTTTAGTTGAGGGATGTGTCATGTAAGCAACTTGTGTACATGCAACTTGCTTCATTTTTCCAGATGAAGGTCCATTATTATGTTGAATACCATCACTTGGGGCATGTGGATGGCTTCTGTCACTGTCCCTTATGTTTTAAATTCTCACCCATCACAAGACACCACATTTTGATTACCACAGCTGGGGAACAACTTTTTGTAGATATTTTTCTGGAAGATCCTAATGCCCAAAGTTCATACATATTTTTTGTTTTTCAACCCCATTAAGCATAAATGACTTCCCTACCTTTGAAATTTTACATTTGGTCTGAATGTATCCTCATGATCTGAGCATATCAATATTTTACCAAAAGCAAGCAATTTTAGATGGCATCACACACTACTTACAAAACACCAAACATTAAAATGTAGCTTTGATGCATTCCATTCCACCATGACTTTACATGCGCAGTGATTTTCACATGACTTACATATTTATATTACTGTATTTGTCTGAATATAATAAACTAATATTGATGTATTAAACATTTTTGGGAATCTTTCATTGAAATTATTATTATTATTATTTTTTTTACGTGTCAATTTTACAAAATTTATTGAAAAGTTTATAAGTGATAATACCCTAAGTTAATCATTAATCTCCACATAAATCTTAGTCATTGCTAAAATTGTTGCTACCTTCAGAGTTGCTTCCTTAAACCTTTGCTTCACTCTTTTCAATTCCCACAGCATGTCATCATCTGTCCCATCCATTACATATCTAACATTTTTTTTTTTTAAATGATTTTTGGTGGTAGCTTCTAGTAAGATACCTAATAAAATTGAGCGTGTGCAAATATAACGTACAGCGAGTTTTTCAGATAGTATTTGGAGGAAAAAAATATGTATTATATTCAGGAAAATACAGTAGTTTTTTTATAACATACTCAACTAATTATACACACACACATTATATACATAAACACTTAATTTAATATTATCTAATGAACATATTTAAAAAATTCATACAACAAATTACAGATATTTTATAAGTGTATAGACTGGCTGAATTACAGTATTGTTCTTAAATAATCAAAAACTTGTTTTACCTTTTTAAAGAGTACAACTCCATCAGATTCTACACCCAGCTGTTTATACACTTCTTTACTGGATGTGATAGCAAAAGGGTGGTCATCAGTTTGGTCTGCAACTTCAAAAAAAGCTTTAGCATCAACTGCTTCTTGGTCTTTGAAGAAACCAACTACTACTACATGTGCACTTTCTTTAAACTGTTTAGCATCCTCTGCACTGACTAGTTCCTTGGCTGGAGGACCAGTTTTCTTCTTCAGCCATTGAATGATTTCATCAGCTTTACGACCACCTTTTAATTGAGAAATTCTCAGTGTGTTGAAAAGTTAATATTTTCCTTTTCTGAAAATGCATTTCACATATACACTCACTTCTCTGCACAATTACCATTTATTACCTCATAACCTGCCATGAAGGTTTTTGCACATGGCACAAGCCTTGAATGAAGCTTCCACCCCTACAACAAGGGGTATATTGTGAAGAAGCAAAAGGATGAGAAACAAGAGAGGGGCCAACCCCACAAATCTTCCAAGGATGGGAAACTTGTTGGGTCATCCAGGAAAGTCAGGAAACCAGAAAGAAACTACTGACAACCAGCTTCAGCCACAATTTGAAAGTGTGAGGAACACCTCCAAAGAACTTGTCATGAAGGAAAGAAATAAGGTAGAGCTACTAGAGATAAGACCGAGGAAGGCAAACACCCGAAAGTGAGGCGTCCTGATCATGCAAATTCAATAATAAAGAATCAAAGTCAACTGAGACTAGGCAGTGGTAGAGATGGAGGCCAAGATGGCAAATACAAATGTACCTAAGGAAGTTATAACAGTTGCAATGACGAGTCTCCGAGATAATGTGAAGTGTAAACAAATAGTGAAGGAGCTGAGCAACAGCTAGGACTATGAGCCATAGAAGAAGCATCACAAAGGCGAGGAGAAGGAGGTTGTCATAGTTCAGTGCAATGCTGATACAGAAAAGTATCAGTATGAACACAAATCTCAGGAGGAAAGAAAATATAATCAGAACGAGAGTAATGGAGCAACATGCCCAAATACTAAGAAAAAAACTAGAGAAAGAATGTCACAAATCAAAGTAGCAAAGAGAAGAACCAAAAACAAGTGTAGGCAATGGGAACAGCTGATCAAACCTGTTGCAAAAGTAACACAAATAGAAGGATGAAGAGAACCAACCACCTAAAGAATAATGGTAGTGACATCCCTGAATAGAGTGCCTGTAGGCACCAATGAAACTGCAAGAGTAAGTAGGCTCCTAGAGTATCTGGACCTCAAAAGGTAACAGAAACAAGATTGTAAGAATTTATAGTCAAAAACGATACCCCCCCCCCCCCAAAACAAAAACAATTTTGTGAGAATACCAATAAGTTGAGTAAACAATACAATAACCAGTAGAAACATGATGACAGAAACAATAAAGTTGTACTCAAAGTGAAAAAAAAAACACATTATATAAAAAGCCTGCATACAAAGAAAAAAAAAGGACAATATTAAGTAAATATGTAGAGAAGCAGTGCCAAGGAAAGAATGAGCCTTTGTTTAAAGCTAGTGCTCACAGGTATTACTGTACATGGAGGATATATTACCTTCCTATTAGTGGAGTGCAGTAGTCTAGTGAGAATTACACCACAGACTGGTGGAACACATGTTAACAGGTGTAGGAGAGTGAGCTTCATTCAAGGATTGTGGCATGCTCAAAAATACTTCAAAACAGTGAGTAAGGTAAGATACTTTCAGTGTGCAGAAAGGAGAGTAACATTTCTGAAAAAATAGTTTATTCACAATTAGAAGTTAGGAGAACCTAAGTGTTCCTAAACAAGCTACATCAGAAAAATCACTAAAATCCACATTTTAATCATCATGCCCTCACAGCCCAAATATTTATTGTGTACTGCAGTAAAGAGAAAACTACTGTCAATTGCAAACACTGGACATACTATAGAAACTGCCTTGTTACGAATAATATAATCATCTAAAATGAATATAGTGGAGGAAGTGAAGTTTTTGCTTTGATTGGCAGTAAAACATTTGTGCAATTTTTTTAAGTCATACCATACCGCAGGCTCTTAGTAGAAGCAAGCAATTCCATTCAGCACTCAAACAACAAACCTGCAGAGCTTATACAAAGATTCACAGCAACAGCAGTATGTGACGATCAAAATCAGCATGTATGCTAGTCAAAGTAAAGTGTACAACTGCATATACTCCTTGTATTAAACATGCAGTAAAAAGGAAACGAGTTAAGAGGGAGAATGCCATGAAACTTTTTTTGTAGTGGCCAAAAGTAAAAGCCAACCAGTAGGTTGAATAAACCTTCAACTGTGATACCAGTTTCATTTGGTTCTATTCTGTGTATAACAGTTCCACAACCTGTATTTATGTTGAGAACTACTATTTGACAGATATCAGCATATCACAATACCAAAGCAAGAGAGAAATTAAGGTCTTAGATATTGCATTCAATGTGTTCCTGTACAGAAATTAGCATTTTTTTTTTGGACTTTGCAAAGTCATTTAAAAAGTTAAAATTTTATTGGTTAGTCAGCATGGTTTCACTAGGGGAAAATCTTGTCTTATAAATCTTTTGAAATTCTTTGAAGAGGTTACAGATGTGGATATGGTGTATCTGTATTTTCAGAAAGCATGTAACAAGGTACCACATAAAAGGATTGTTATAATATACAAGTTATCTGTAGGTGTGTATTTGGGGTGGGAGAAATAGGTTGGCTCATTAGGTAGAAAACTGGTTAGATGGAAGAAAGCAGAGGCTTGTTATAAATAGAGTTTAGTCAAACTGGATATTAGTGTCACAAGTGGGGTATCTAATGGCTAATTGTTAGGACCCTTGCTCTTTTTGGTTTCAATCAATGATGTAGATGAAGGAATGTTGAATAAATTAATTAAATTTGCTGAAGAGAATGCTGCAGCTTTACAAAGGGATTTGGATTATTTGGAGAGTTTAGCAAATAAATGGCAGAAGCATTTAACTTATAATAACTGCAAAGTAATGCATGCGAGATATCACAATTTAAATTATGAATATAATTTTGATGGGAATAACCTATACAGTATTATGAAAGAAAAAGATCTTAGTGTTCTGGTTGATCAGTCTCTTAAGACATCCAAACGATATGCTGTTGCTAGTGGCAGGACAAACAATATTTTATATTCTATTTAGAGAAATACTGAATACAAGTTTACAGAGGTTATAATGCCATTACATAGTTCATTGGTTAGCCCACATTTAAAGTGTTATATTTAATTTCGGACTCCTTACTTCAGAAGGGACATTGAATTGTTGGAAAGGATTCAGAGGAGGGATGAAAATACTATCCCTAAATTTTGGTATGGAAGAATTCAACTTCAGCTAAGACAGCTATACGTTTCTAACAGGGTGGTTATCCTTCAGAACAGGTTGCCTTTGGATGTGGTGGATGCAGTTAATTTAAGGAAGTTTAAGGGAAAGCTTGATAAATATTTGAATGATTAGGGCTAGCTTCAAGGTAAGGTTGTTGTTTTTTTCTTTCAGGGTTTAATTTAGTGAATAGGACAGCCTAGATGGGCAAAAAAAAAGTTTCTTGTCCTTTAATGTTATATGTTACATAGACTAAATGAATGTGAATGTGCACAAGTGTGAATAAAAACAATAATAACTTTAAATATACAATATGCTTTATATGTAGACTTCAAACATTTCAATTTTCACCAGCTGTCTTAGATTACATAAACCTGACTGGTGGGTTTGGCTTGATTTCAAAGTACATACAGTGTTCTTAGATAATGTTAATTTCTTACCTGTATAATCAATAATTTTTGATCCCTTAAAAAATTTCAGTGTTGGATAACCTTGGATTTCATATTTTCCAGCCAATTTTGATTCTTGTGTAGCATCAACTTTAGCAAGCATGATCTTGGACTGTTCCTCCGCCAATAGAGTTGCAGCTTTAGCATATTCTGGAGCAAGGGATTTACAATGTCCACACCATGGTGCATCTAAAAGACAGTAATAGTAACATCCATATTTGAAAGTTTAACTTCATACTGTCAATTAAATAAACTTAATTTGCTAGAGAGTGTTTAATAACAATATGATGCTTACATTGTAATAATGTTAAGTAGTTTTGAATTAGCTTAAATAGATTCAAGAGAACTAAATACCAGGTAATACATTACACAAAGTAGTAAATGAATGCAGTTCTACTACAGTGAACATCACATGCACCTTTTTAGATAACTAAAAATATTTAAAATGGTTAAATTTAAAATTTAACACAACAAGCCCACTTTAACACTTGTGGTAGAAAATCAAAGGTAATGTAATTAAAAAACAATGCTCAAAACAGTCAAATTCAATGTTTCTCAGACTACTACAAACACTAGAAATTTTGAATTCATATACATTAATCATATCCCAACACAGAATTGTGCAAAATATGTTCCAAGATTAATCTTAAAACATTTTAACTTGTATCCATGACACTAAATAGTTACAAGTTAAGAATAAATAAAAATCTATACTTATAAAATTATAGCTTCACTGAAAATACTGCATTACATGTTCAACTCAAAAATAAGACAACTTTTATTAAACATTTCAGAAAATATAAAAAAAGGATTACCAGTTTTCCATTTCAATATCTTTCCATAATTTTTCTTTTCTCTCAAGAATGAAAAAACAAACAAAACAATAATTACAAGATCATGACTTATGTAATCACTCAGATATCAATTTTTGTTGTTCATTACAAAGAATCATTTACATATTATATAAATGCATATACATTAGTTATCTTCCCGAATGTGTTATAATTCTTCTAGAATTACAGAGTGTCACAAGTATATTACACATCTGTCCCACATAAACTGTACCAACAAGAGTTTGTTAAAAGTCTCCAAAATCTTGATCAATTACTGTGGGACATGTTACCTCACTCTTTCCAAAGACAGTGAGATCATTAAACAATGAACAACCAGAAGGTACAGCATTTCAAACAAAAGGGTTTTCACTATTCTCCATGAAAGGAAACAAATTCACAGTTGAATATTTATAGCAGCAACAAGCTCCAAAATTTCATTCCTATCTAATCAACACCATCATCCATAAAGTGAAGGCAAGAAAACATTCTAATAATAATAAAACTAATGAAACCAGATACCAATGAAAAATAAAAAAGGATTTGAAGCTGACAAAGGCTCACAAGCTTCCAAATATCACTTAAATTGAACAATGGTTTTCACAAGTGTGATGGGCCATTAGTGGTCAACACAGCAAATCAAAGCAATCCCATACAAACATACGTCTGTTAAGTGTTATTGTTAAGTTGTCCCGTCCAGCTCCAGTGCACTTTCTTTCTACTTTTGATATGCTTAGTTGTACAGTTAAAATCAAACCTAAGATCATGAATTGCCAAAAACCTATCATTTAGAAATCAGAAACTACTAGTACTAGCTTATTTAGTTAAAACTTAAATATAAATAAAAGTACGAGATCGTCCATTTACGTTGCAACTTGTGCAAGTTACAATTTACTGTTAGTGTTACTGTTACAGCGTGAATACGAGATATATACAATAGATCCACAACACCTTGAGAATAAAACAACAGATACTTGTAAAGAAATAATATTTCATTTCTTATAACTATCTAGACAAAACGTACTACCCGCATGACGACTGACAGTAACAAATAGACTACTTACAAAATTCAACCATGATAAACTTATTATTTTTGATAACTTCATCAAAGTTTTCTGTGTTTAGAACTAAAACATTTTCTTCCTTTTTTGTTTCGTCGGCAACAGTAAAACAGATAGTAACTGTAAATAATATTAACTTTCTAAGCTTATTCATCTCTAAAATCAAAATTCCTCACACATATATTAATTAATATCATAGGCTAAGTGCTATGTGTTTATATACTCTCTCAAAACGTCGCGGTACATATTCTGGCATATCCAACGCATGCGTCTACAGGTGAAATACTCATCGTGTACTCAATCGATTGGTCAGCGTGATCATATGACCAAATTAACAACTTCAGTAGGAAATTAGTACACCACTTACATTAATTAATGAAGTTTGCGAAATGATTAAACTTCTGTTGTGTACATTTATATTTTTCTTTGGTAAGAAACATTAAATTTAAATTAAGGCTGTTTGACCAATGTAAATGCTTTATTAAAAAAAAATATTATTCACTGGATTTTCCTGTCTGAAGCTTTAAGCTACGTTACCTTGAAGATTATCGAAGTAAAAGAAAAATGTGACTGCCGCAACAATAGCAAAACCTGTATTAATTTAAAAAGAATTTGCTAGATGGAAGTGTTGTAGTTTTCGAAGGCCTTATAAACACAAAACATTTGAAAGTGTGATTACCCAACATTTCTTGGAATTGCATATTACAGAAACTGAGATAACTATAAGACTCATGTACGTGTTTTGTTTCACAACATTTACAGCATTGCAGCAAGTAGAGATACTAGTAAGGTAAGTGAAAAAAATGGTAAAAACCAGTTACTTAAGGCGGTTTGACACGTTTCTTACTCCTTAAAATTTACTCAGTTCTGAAAACATAAAAATCAGCGATACTGTCAACAGTGATTACAAAATAATTCGTTTGAATTAGAGCTATAATTTATAATTCCTTTAGCTGTTATCAAATATTAGTAATATGTTTAATATTTTGGTTTTTACATGTTTTGGGGAAAATAATCCGGAATAAATCCTTTTAACAGCTGTATTGATATTTTGCGTCAGAAGTTGTGATATTTTCTAACTCAGATACACTGTTAACCCTCATTTAAGAACGGTAGCCGGAATAACGGGAGATACGACAGAAAATTTATGTTAAATTGAACTGACTGAGTTGGAAAAAAAGAGCCTGGACACAATGTAAATTAGTGTGAAAATAGATCCTTCATTTATTTGTTTGTATATAACAAGACAAATACACAGTAGCGTAACTATAAGGAGGATCGGGCAGGGAAGCTTCATTTATTTTAACAGATATTTGAGAACTATATCTGATATGATTTTGGAAATTTTTTATTATTATTTACATATATTACAATATCTTTAACAAACACAATTAAAATTGTTTTTGCTTTGTGATTATATAAAGTAAGGGTGGGGTCGATTTGTCAAACTTGCCGTGGATGCAAAAGTACCTAGTTATGCCACTGAAAATACACAACACTTTACAAACAGGATGAGTGCACAACATGAAAATACGTCAGTTTTCTCTCTAGGTGTGGAACAAGATTTTAATGAGAGAACTAAACACTTAATAAATATTACAATAGGGCTAATTCAGCCTGAGTGTACTTGACCTCACGTTAATTAGTCTTCCATATACTATAGAATATTCCAACAACATATTATTGTTATAACACGAAAATAAACGACCCTAAACAATGTGAAACTGGTGTGAAACAAGGTCACAACATAAAAACTGTACATGGATGACCCGGCATGGCCAGGTGGTTAGGGTGCTCGACTCGCAATCTGAGGGTCCGGGTTCGAATCCCCGTCACACCAAACATGCTCGCCCTTTCAGCCGTGGGGGCGTTATAATGTGACGGTCAATCTCACTATTCGTTGGTTAAAAAGTAGCCCAAGAGTTGGCGGTTGGTGGTGATTACTAGCTGCCTTCCCTCTAGTCTTACACAGCTAAATTAGGGACGGCTAGCGCAGACAGCCCTCGTGTAGCTTTGCGCGAAATTCAAAAACAAACTGTACATGGAACATCATACATACACCAAACATGGATAAATGTGAAATGTTTCAAATATTTTGTGGTGAACCAGAACTAAAAATTAGTGAGAAGGAAAACTTTTTTTTTTTAAATACTAAAAAGTGACCTGTTAAAGCACTTAAATTCTACATACACCTTTTTAAAAGAGAGAGACAGAGGAAGAAAAATATTTTCAAATTAATACTTTATGTATAATTAAAGCTTATGTGGACCTGCTTTTGAGCAAGTATTCCCCTGGTACAGTTGTGATATCAAGGAAAGGCGAAAAGTGAGAAGTGCCATATCTGAAATTCGTCTGCCTCCCCAAATATTTCACACACAAAACAAGTTTAGTAAAAGCTGCGTCTCCCAGAATACAGCATCTTCAGTTACTTGGAAACCATACACAAGGGAAACCCACACAACAAAACATTATCCAATCTCTAGTTAGCCCTTAAAGCTTCTTACTTTATTTTCCACAATTTTCTTTCCACCTCCCCTTTTAAAAAAGCCTTTGCCCTTCAAGCCCATCTTTCTGCCACCTCTTCACCTCCCCACTTTCAGAATCTTGGTGTTGGCACTGCTGTTGTGTAATACCTAATTGATTCAACTGACACAAGACTTTCTTCCAATAAAAGTATTGTTACGTCTCCGTTTGTTAATTAACTTTCCGTAACTTCGTTCGGACGAAACTTTAGCGACACAAGTATTTACTTAATAAAACTGGTTTATTCTTTACGATACACTTATTTTCAACAATCGCGCTAAAACAAACGCTATATCAACGAACGTCAATAATACTTCTGACTGCAGTTCAATTACTCACTATCTTCACACACACATTACATTACCGCGTCACGTTGTCCCCCTCTTTTATATACCAGACTACCCTATATCTAGAAACGTGGCGTCACACTAGTCATGTGACTCGCTGACGCAACAATATCCTCCCTGTGTAATGGACAGTAAATCGTCGTTTATTGTGTTTAATTCACTTTGAAATTTACTAATCTT